GTGGGGCGGGTAGACGCTCAACATACATTATTGAATTTACGTCCTTAAAAAAAAGAATAAAGGGGGACGTTATAAATACATTAAAGACTGCAGGAACACGATCCCGTCTCTCGTAGTCGGTTTCGACAAAGGCGGCACCAATGCGCAAATTGCGGCCGCCTTGTTTCAAATCGTCGCGTGACATTCGCGGTCGTGGTCGTCGTCCATCATCATCATCACACCACCGCCACCATCGTCATCACGCGCATCACAATCATCATCACCAGGGGTTTCATTTCTCTCCCGAATATTTTCCGGAATGCTGCGAGGTAGGGCTGCCTCGGTCGAAGGGGGGTTATGGGCGTAAGGCGCTTTGGCCAGAGTACAAGAAAGGGGTGGGTGGAGATGGAGGTGGCGCTGCACTCATTTGTGAGTGCGAAAAGCGCGGAGACGGGAGCATAGGAAGTGCAGTACAACGACGGATTTCAACTGCACTGCCCTCTGCTGCCCGGCACGGAGCCGCTGCCTCCCACGCAGCCGACAAACCACGCCACCTGTTATGGCGATGCACGGTGGGTCGCCCATGATTGGCAAAAACGAAGACGTGACCTGCTTTATTATCACTCTGTCTCTCTGGCCGCGTACCGTATTTACGTGCCATAAAGAAGGACCATTTGCCCGAAACGTCGCCTATTATGTACCGTATGCGACGTCTTTAAAAAAAATTCTGCAAGGCCCACACAGTGTATTTATTCTAGATTTGAAGCTTTCGTGACTGCAAGGATTCATACTCTTAGGTTGTTTTCGGTAAAGTCACGTAGTTAAAAAAATAAATTAAAATTAATAAAAGTAATAATGAAATAAAATAATAAATCACGACGTTTCGGAGGCAACACAAGTCTCCGTCATCAGGTGGGACCGTCACAGCTAGATTTACTGTATCAAGTTTATTACAAAATTTCGATTTAAAGCTTTCGTGACTGCAGTGATTCATCTTCTTGGTTCTTTCGGTAAAGTCACGTAGAATAGAAATAATAAAATAATTATTTTATCACGTAGAATGGAAACAATAAAATTATTATTTTATTATATCCATTCTACGTGACTTTACCGAAAGAACCAAGAAGAAGTGTATTACTTGTATTAATTTTAATTTATTTTTTTACCTACGTGACTGTACCGAAAAAAAAAACCCAAGGCCCACACAGTGTAGTTGACAAATGTGTTGACTTGTTGGTGCAAGAGGAGGACGGGGAGGGGGGGTAACGATGATGGAGCCTCCGGAGATCGGCGGCATCTCGCGCGTTTGTGAAGGAGGAGCTCGTGTGGCGCGTGGCGCCATGCAAATGCGATTCGGGGAGGAGGCCACCACCCTGGCTGACAAATTAGGCAATTTACTTGCCACTGTAATAACTTTAAGCGAGGGCGTCTAAAGTTGTGTTGATAGATGGTGTAATTACAAGGCGGTGATGTTTTGATAATCTCGCAGTTGATTAATTACAGGTAATTACGCTCAATTAATTATTAGGCAGGGCCGAGATAATACGGGGTCGTAAATCTGCGCAGACTTTTTTTTGGTGTATGCTTGGCTAATTGCCGCTGTCTATTCAAGATACATATGCGTAGTGTGCTGTATACCGGGGGGAGCGGTGGCGCAGTGATTAGCGCGCAGCAGTCTGAAGCCCGGCCACCTGAGTTCGATTCCCGTGCACGGCTGTCAGTGGCCAGTGATGGCTGAACCGGTCCTGGCCCTAATCTTCCATGTCACCAGTCCCCCCCTCCTTCCCCTGACAAGCGTGGTGAAGTATGGTTAATCAATGCCTTTGACACACACAACGTCCAGAGTCCATCATCCAATTTAACAAAGGGATGTAAATTAGTACGACTCCATGCTTGGAATTACAGAGAGAGGTGAAGATGAACGCCTGGACTAAAGAACATATTGAAAATTGTTTTTTTTTTACCCTTTTATCTGGCAACAAAACTGACACCTTTTTTTACGAGGAGTCATGTTTGCATAGACCACAATACCTGCAGTCATAATGCAAACAAAAAACACAACAACAAAGGTGTCAGTTTTGTTGCCAGATAAAAGGGTAAAAAAATGTTTATCATATTTTTTACTGGCAAATGAGGTACTAATGGTGTAAATGCTTAACCCGAGCTCTCATACTCTGATGGTGCATTGTTCTTGAGTTGTGCGCCTTTTGGCGTTATCTGGTCCAACCCATGTGAGACTAGGCTCTAAGGAAAGCTGTCTCGGGTGTGGACCAATCAACTTCAAGGACAGTGCATACATTATCAGAGTTGTGTTTTTTGTTTGCATTATGACTGCAGGTATTGTGGTCTATGCAAACATGACTCCTCGTAAAAAAAAGGTGTCAGTTTTGTTGGCAGATAAAAGGGTAAAAAAAACAATATCATAATTTTTTACTGGCAAATGAGGTACCAATGGTGAACATATTGAAGTTAGAGACAACATCATCATCATCCTCCTGACTCAGATGTTAATGGGGTTGGGCTGGACACGTCGCGGTGTATGGTTGAGACTAAAGACAGAGTGGAAGCCAAACGTGGGCACATGCCCGATACGCATGGAGCGATGAAATAATCCCGTGTGCACTCGCTGGATGGATTGTGAAATCGCGGGACCGCGAGAGGTGGCTATGTCGTGCGGAGGCCTTCTTCCAGCAGTGGATAGATCATGGCTAATGATGATGAAGATTTTTTATAAAGAAATGTCCTCTTTAAGAGGTTTCCGATGAAGACGACGTCTACGATTCATTGGTTAAAATCGATTCTTACGGTGGTAATACGCGCATCAAATCATGCGCCTGAGAATTGATTATGGACAATTCATGGTTAATTGTATGCAAATTAAAACCTCGACAGGATAATGAAACGGAGGTGATAGAGTTAACGAGACATGACGAACGAGTCAGACAGCGTCGATGTTTACACGGGTAGCCATTCAAGGCTGAGGACACCTAAGGGAGGCCCAGAACCGGTCTCAATATTCGTCACCGATGTTGGCCGGTTTTGCTAGCGCAGTGCGCTAACCACTACACCACCGCTCCCCCACACACACTCACGTACACACTGTCGCACACAACACACAGTGACACCTACACAGCGCGACACACAGACATACACCTAGAAATGATAACGAAAACAAAGATCCTCCGTATAGCCTGAACAGACTGTTGGGGCAAATGATGTTAGCGAGCACCTATGAAAGCCGGCACGGCACACGAGGTGGTTGGCCAACACCACGCCCGACCACCTTTGTTTCCCCATTGGCGACGTTTTACACACCGCACCAGGTACTCATTTGAGGCTGAGTCAACCTAGGGGTGGCCCAGGACCGGTTGAGATAATCGTCACCTGGTGTTGGTGGCCTTGAACGGGAATCGAACTCGGGTCGCCGGGTTCGTAGCGCTGCGCGCGTTAACCCCGCTACGCACAACTCACTCATTCCATTCGCAACAACACTAACCCTAAGCTCGCTCCCAACACAGCCACCACCACCGCTACCACCACCACCATTTACAACGGCTCCAACTTCATCAGCGCGACGTGACCGCCCTGTAAACAGCCATTAAGGCGACTTGGTTTTTTTTGTTTGTTGTTGTATCAATAGCGAGTAATTAAAGTGTCAGCGTTTAATGCTGGCGCCGCGCAAGACCCATCTCGCCGCGGCCGCTGCCTGCGATCGAAATCTTATTTTGGGGCCGTCACTCACGTGCTGCGGCAGCCAATCAGAGCGCGGCGTTGGGCGCAACGGTGAATAAGTTGTTTGGTGGGGGGAGTAGAGGGTGGGGGGAGTGGATGGGGGGGGAGTAGAGGGTGGGGGGGGGGTTTGGAGGGTTGGGGGAGTGGATGGGGGGGGGGTTTGGGGGGTGGGGGGTTTTGGGGGGTGGGGGGTTTGGAGGGTGGGGGGTTTAGGGGGTGGGGGGTTTGGGGGGTGGGGGTTTAGGGGGTGGGGGTTTGGAGGGTGGGGGGTTTGGGGGGTGGGGGGTTTCGGGGGTGGGGGGTTTGAGGGGTGGGGGATTTGGGGGTGGGTGTTTTGGGCCAGGCGGGGGAGGGGCGCTGAGTTGATGACGCGGCGAGTGCGCGCGCGCGCGTGCGTTCCCGATGTTCAGCAGTGCCGGATTGCCGGCTAGTGCGGGGCCTGTAGCACGTGTTGTTATAAAGGGGCCCTAAATAAAAAAATAAAACACGTAAATATTAAAACACGTACATTTTTACTTGCATAGTAAACTTATTGCATTTTTTCATTTGCTATACAGCCAGATAATACAACAAATCGCTAACCTTAAACACCCAGTCGTTCATAAAAGTTGAAGGCGGTATGGTACTATAGTGATCGAGCAAGTGCAGAATCACTGAACCGGAATTGATAGCTTGAAAGCATTTAGCGCGGGGTCCTTGAAAGTGCGGGGCCCGTAGCTACATGTGTAGCTAGTTTTACTACGAGGACAATCCGGCACTGATGTTCAGTGACGAATATCCAAACTTGTGCTGCTCCTCCCACCTTGTTATGTCGACTGATGACCTGCTGCGGTCGTGCAAACATCAACGCTGGGGAGACGAAGGCGGCCGTGCGTGGTTTGCTGGCCACACTACCCCCACTCGTGCGCCGTACGGACCTCAATAGGTGCTCACTAACAGCACTTGCCTTCTGTGGCTATCTGGGAGCGTTTTTGTCTTTGTTACACGAGTGGTCGGAGCGAACGCGTTTTGTTGAAATCCACGCCGCGTGAATCCCTTGTTGAGGCTTTCCTTTGGTGTGGAAGACTCAAATAGAATAATTCACCATATACGGCCGGGTATGATTATAAGGTTTTGATTCGAAGGCCTCTTGAACGCCCGAGATGACATCCAACACCGCGGAGTTGAAGGGATGAAAACGCGAGAGGCCTGGGTACTGGGTAGTCAGGATCAGAATTTTTATTTATTTCTACCGGAGGAATCCGATTAGCTATTAAGCTCCATTTTCCACGTGTAGATTCAAGCCCCGTCGCACACGCGAGTCCATCTCATCCGCCACGCCATCTCCGCGCATCCTCTCGTCCTCTCGAACGCGTTCGCTCCCTCCTCCGGCTGCCATTCCGTCGCCAGTCTCGACCATAAGCCCGTTTTAGCGATGCGCCCTATATACACACGCCCATTTAATAGGCCTAACGACCACTATTGGACACAAACACGCATATATATATATATATACATAGACACAGAACATTACACATACAACTGATCCCTTCAGCGGGCTTAGACTTGCTCTCTATCAGCTTTAGCGTCACACTCTACGGCGGCAAGAATTAGCTCGTAACACGTGGAAACTTTGGGCCAACGTGGGGCAAACGTCGAGCCAACGTTAGATCGACGGGTTCCTAACCGCGTGCCAACGTGCGCCCAACGTTGACGTGTGTGCACTGGCTACTTGGCTACGCATTGAGCACGCGGCCAAAGGCAGTGGGAGACCTCCACGTTGACCCCCGCCCATGAAGGGAACCATTCCACCTCCGGGTCACGCTTCGTGGAGATCAGATTTGACAATTTCCCAACGGTCATCGTTGGATTTTTTTGTTGTTGTCAAATTTCAATAGCGGTTTGGCAACGGGCTGTCAGTTATATTATTGTAATAATAATGATTATATTTCATCTTCTTGGATCTTTCGGTAAAGTCACGTAGAATGGAAATAATAAAATGATAAAAATAAAACATAATAAATAAGTCTGTTGGGAGACAGACATGTTCTTCACCTGAGGACGGCTGCTTGCGTTGTGGCCGAAACGTCGTGAGAATTATTTTATTATGTTTTATTTTTTATTATTTTATTATTTCCATTCTACGTGACTTTACCGAAAGAACCAAGAAGATGAATTCCTGCAGTCACGAAAGCTTTAAATCGAAATCATATTTCATTTCGCATCATCCCGGACTATAAGACCCCCCCCCCTCCCCGTACCTTCAAGCAAAGGTTTAGGGGGTGTGTTTATAATCCGATAGTTGTGTGTGTGCGCGCATGCGATGAGATTTGTATAATTATTCGATGGATTCCTGCAGTCACGAAAGCTCCAAATCAAGATATTCTTTGGGTCTTTCGGTAAAGTCACGTAAAAAATACCCACAAACTACGACGTTTCGATCACAACACAAGCGATCGTCACCAGCAGGATTTGTTTAACTGTATTGTCACCGGGCACAAGACGCGATAAAGTGCGTTCGCGTCCCTACTGCGTGACCCCAGCATTGATGACTTGTGGCGCGAGGCGGATCCGTGTTATTGGGGGAGGGTGGGGGGTGTTTGTTTGTTGTTGTTCCTCGTCTCATTTTGTATATTGTTTTGCCCCCTGGGCGGTGTTTAGTTTCCTCACCGGCAGAATCGCATCATCCGTCAGTCAGCTTGACGCGTGCACGCGCTATACGCGCCGAAGAGTCACGCGCGCGCGATTCGACAGCCTTGATGATAATCGGTTTAATTGATGAATCGATTATGCATCGTGACATTACACAGCTGTTGGGAAGTCAAACGAATGATTTGGCGACGCTGCCGCGATGGCGGTGATGCACAAAACAATAAATAAATAAAAGCGTGCTAAATAAACACGTTCGTCAAAAACAAAAACAACAACAACGTGGCCTTACAAAAGGGAGAGCAAATATATCGCAGGCGACGTTTCGGACGATGGACCTTCTTCACAGCACGTCAAAAGGCTCCCATCGCTGACGCAAACCCACGGCCCCGCGCAGTCTTCTCCAGAGCCCCGTGATCAGCTCAACTCGGAATGGTTCTCGACAGCGGCAGATCTCGGAAGCGAAAGCTGCGGTCGAAGCTGAATGGTCCTTGGATGTGGCGGCCACCGGTCCGTCGCGGGTGTTGTCGGCTGATGCGGGTCTCCTTGGTGGGAACAGCAGAGGGCAAGTGCGGCGAACACGTCAACTGTTGGACTGCACCTCCACGCTCCCCACGACGGCGACGGCCGCCTTCTCCGACTGGTGCTGACCAACGTGGTGAAGTATGGTCAGGTAGGTAAAAAATTTGAATTAATAAAAGTAAAATAAAAATAAACTAAAAATCACGACGTTTCGGAGGCAACACAAGCTTCCGTCTTCAGGTGGAACTCTCACTTGATACAGCTATCGTGCTGTGACGGTTCCACCTGAAGACGGAAGCTTGTGTTGCCTCCGAAACGTCGTGATTTTTATTTTATTTTAATTTTACTTTTATTAATTTTAATTTTTTACCTACGTGAATTTACCGAAAAACCCTAAGAATATGAATCCTTGCAATCACGAAAGCTTCAAATCTAGAAGTATGGTCAGATCAGCCCCTCCAGCCACACTTCGGGGCCGATACGGCATGAAGAGACATTCATCCAGCAGTGGGTTGACACACGGCAGAGACTTCATGATTACACGTATATTTGAAAGATTGCTTTGTATGTGCTCATGCATCTTATACATGAGGATGTCTCTCCGCATCTGATTCTATATGTTTTCTTGTATAACTCATCTACTCGCCGCTGTATTCCAGCTTTTAGAAAGAGGCGTGTGCTATCCTCTTTCCTGTTTGAATAATACAGGTGGAGGGATTGAATGAATTCGAGGGGACCAGGTTTAAGACAGGGGTAAGGAGACATCTACGATCCGCTGCCTCGCCACAAGCCCGCGACTTCATTGTATCAAGGGCCACGATCCCACGTGCGATGTGTACCGCTTCAAACCGGCCCGCAAACGATGTCGCAAACATTTAAGGCGCACGAATCGGGCACCGCGAGGACACTTTGATCTGAACCGGCCAGTTGCGTCCGCCACCGTAAAGGCCTCCTCGTGCTCCGTCGACACGCGCACGTTACCTTGCGCGTAATTATGGGACAACGCTGAGGGCTGTATTCTTGTGGAGACTCATACGTGCGCCGATAATACCTTTGTGTATATAGAGAGAGCGAGAGAGAGGGTGATCGAGAGAGTGAGCGAGAGAGTGACCGAGAGAGTGAGCGAGAGAGTGAGCGAGAGGTGGGGGTTTACATAAAGCAAAGTAAAAATAAAAATAAAAAAATTACGAAATGATGAACGAAGTAAAGTGCCGACTACACCGAGCATCTTCTTGTTTCCACTGATCGTAAAAAAAAAGAGAGCGAGAGAGAGAGGATTCCAGAGCTTTGAGAGGGCGTCATTTGTCGCTGGTTTGCCGCGTGGCTGCGGCATCGCTGCTTGTCTGTGGTTCATTCCTCGCGCCCGTGGCGGTGGTGTTGGACACCCACCCCCTCGTGCAACCGTTCCGGCCTTCACAGCTGCTCGCTAACAGCACTTGCCCCTACAGACGCTGAAGGCTACACGGGGGATCGTTGTATTTGTTTGTGACTGGGGAGCGGTGGTGTAGCGGTTTGCCCGTTGCACATCGAACCCGGCGACCCGAGTTCGTTTCCTGTTCACGGCCAACACCGGCGACGATTATTTGAACCGGCCCTGGGCCTCCCCTCGGTCGACTTAGCCTCAAATGAGTACCTGGTGTGGTGTGTGAACATCTCCACTGGGGAGACAAAGGCGGCCGGGCGTGGTTCTGGCCACCCACCCCCTCGTGTGCTGTGCCGGTGCTCATGAACAGCACTTGCCCTAACAGCTCGGTAAAGGCTACATGGGGGATCTTTGGCTGTGTGTGCGTGTGTGCGCGTGTGTGCGCCTGTGTGTGTGTGTACGCCTCTGTGCGCGTGTGTGTGTACGCCTGTGTGTGTGTGTGTGTACGCCTCTGTGTGTGTGTGTGTGTACGCCTGTGTGTGTGTGTGTGTACGCCTGTGTGTGTGTGTGTGGCCGTCTGTGCGCGTGTGTGTGGCCGTCTGTGTGTGTGTGATGGCGGGGTCAGGGTGGAGCGAATACTGGACAGGGGTGGCGGCGGGGGCAAGGGCGGGAGGAGGGGGTGGTGGAGGTGGGGACTCGCAAGGGGATAGACCCCCACGCACACGGATCGATAGGGGAAGCCATGCCGACCCTAAAAGTAATTTATTGGGGTCACACTTTTATGGGGTGTCCGGCGCAGCGGTTAAATGAAGTGCGTTCCAGGGGTTTTTTTTTGTGTCCAAAAGCAGCTTTTATTAAACTTGCCGTGAACGAGGCCGCGCGCCTCTGTGATTTATGTCGCAATCTACGAGTCTGAGCGTCGCGTGGGGCCGCCCGGAGCGGAGCGAGGGGGGTCCTGAGGGGAGAGGGGGGGTCCAGGGGACGTGTAGCCCCCCCCCCACGCCCCCCCCCCACCCCCCACCCACCCACCCCTATCCTACTCCCCCGCAGCTGCAATCGGGGTTCGTTTGCTCGTTCGTTCGTTCCCCATGACGTTCTTAGTCCGGGTCTCTTCAAACCTGGCCACACACACAAAGATCACAGGTATTCATCTTCTTGGTTCTTTCGGTAAAGTCACGTAGAAGGGAAATAATAAAATAATAAAAATAAAACATAATAAAATAATTCTCACGACGTTTCGGCCACAACGCAAGCAGCCGTCCTCAGGTGAAGACCAGGTCTGTCGGGGAGACAGCGTCTCCCCGACAGACCTGGTCTTCACCTGTGGCCGAAACGTCGTGAGAATTATTTTATTATGTTTTATTTTTATTATTTTATTATTTCCCTTCTACGTGACTTTACTGAAAGAACCAAGAAGATGAATCCCTGCAGTCACGAAAGCTTTAAATCGAAAAAGATCACAGGTAGTTAGTTTACATGCCAAGCAGCTGAGGCACTATTGAGTCACGTCGTTGTTGTCGTTGTTGTTGTTCGTGTTATAAATACATTGAGCAGTTTTATTAACTGCCAATAATATGCGGCCCGATGTCAAATCCACTGCTGGATTGAAGGTCTCCCCGCGCCGTGATGGTCACGGGGGCTGTTTGACCATACTTCACCACATTGCGGGGGCTGGTGAGATGCAAGGCACCCGATCACGCGCCGCTGATGCTTAACTGCAGTGCGCCAACCACTGCGCCACCGCTCCTGTAGATCGCATCGCAATGAGTGAGCGTGCTGCACATTGGGACCCCTTTCGTTTCTAAGGCGTATAGCCACTTTTCACACTGGCTTGTTTACTTCCCAAACGACGACTCATAAGTACGCGCTGCCGGGGAATGTTAATTCAGGGAGAAGCTCGCAGGACGATGGATTCCACGTGACTTCATTTCCTCTCGGTGGTGAAATGCACGGGTCTCATTTTGTGACAGTGCAGAGAGATAAAACAGACTGTTGGCCCAGCGTGCTATTAGCGAACACCTATAAAGTGATGCAGCAAATCTGGCTGTGACGGTCCCACCTGATAACGGAGACTTGTGTTGCCTCCGAAACGTCGTGATTTTTATTTTATTTTTATTAATTTTAATTTAATTTTTTACCTACGTGACTTTACCGAAAGAACTAAGAGTATGAACACCTATAAAGGCCAACACGGCACGCGAGGGGGTGGGTAACCAGTACCACGCCCGGCCGCCTTTGTCTCCCCAGTGACGATGTTTAAACATCGCACTAGGTACTCGTTTGAGGCTGAGTCCACCTAGGGGAGACCCAGGACCGGTTCAGATAATCGTCACCGACGGTGTTGGCCGTGAGCGGGAATCGAACTCGGGTCGCCAAGTTCGTAGCGCAGACGCGCTAACTGCTACACCACCGCTCTTCACACACACACTAGCACACACACCAGCACACACACACACTAACACACACACTAGCACACACACACTAACACACACACTAGCACACACACACACGCTAGCACACACACACCCTAACACACACACGCGCGCGCACACATAGATCTCCCGTGCATGCAGTCTTGAACAGACTCGGAACGAGCGAAGTTAGCGGGCCCATATCCCTGGCCGGGCGCCTTTGTGCAGTCTTTAACATGGCATCACCACCTTGCATCATGAATGCGCTGGGTCGGGAAGGAATTGGGGGGCAGGGGGGGGGGCGGTCCGGTGCGGCGGTGTGCGGGAGTGCCGGTAGAAGGGAGAGAGAGAGAGAGAAGTTCGGTACACATGGACGAAAGTGAGATGAGAGAGATGAGAGAGATACAAAGGAAAAGTGCTTGGAAATACGCGGCGCGAATGTCAATACCCCCTGAATAGATGTAACATAAAGTATATAAATATATAATAAAGGGGTTACGGGGTAAGTAGCAGGGGGAAAGAAGGGGGGGTAGGGTGGTGGTGGGGGGGGCACGTAACAAAAAATTGGGATTTTCTCAGAGCGTGCAGACTCGTGCATTGCTCAAAATCGGCGTAATGTTGTGGAACGTGGAACTAATGAAGTACATAATGCAATAGAAAGTTGAGTTGGGAGCGCGCGCAGCTGAGCTTGATTTAATGGTTAAGATGCGGCGAGGGGGTGCGTGGAGAGGCTTGGGGAGGGTGGTGGTGGTGGTGTGCGTGGAAGAAGAGGAGGAAGGGGAGTGACTAAACACAAGTCGCTCCGCGTGCGTCCGCAGCCCGTTCGCTGCGCGGAGTCGCTGTCACCGGCGGCATTCGTGCGCATTTATCTATTTATTTATTATTTGTCTATGTATTTATCTATTTATTTATCTATTTGAACGAATCACTGCGCCTTAAATGCAACCGTTGATTTTGGGGATGCTGCCCGCGTTGGCAGTCTTGGTGGTGGTGCACAAGCACGGCCAACGACAACAACAACAAACAAACTCGACCGCAATCGTCAACAACGCCGCCTTCAAATAAATACCGCGTCTATATAGGAGGCCACGGGGTGAGTGGCAAAGCGCTATGATAGAGGGCCATTGCCCGAAACGTTGTGGAGGGAGTGCTCTTATCAATGTCATCCGCTAAACCGGCACATCTGGCTCTGCTGATGAGTCCCAAACGCAGGCAGCTGACGTTTCAATCGGATGGCCTCTGTGTTGTCGGGCACGTCTGCCTGTGTGCGTATGGGTGCGTTACGGTGAGCGGTGGCGCAGTGATTAGCGAAGCGCGTTGCGGACCCCGTGTTCCATTCCCGGCCACGGCTAACATCAGTGACGACTCACATGTGAACCGGTCTTGCGCCTCCCCTGGGTCGACTCAACTTTAACTCAGTGAGCACCTACGGTGCGGTGTGTAAGCATCGCGACTGTGGCTGGCAGGATGGGGCCGGGCGTGGTTCCGACCCCGCCACCGTTTCGGGCCTTAATAGGTGCTCGCTAACAGCACTTGCCACAACAGTCGACGTGACGAGTAGGGAGAGTGTGGTGCACCTTTGCCTTTGAGCGTGAAGGTGGGTGTTTGTGTGGGCCTCCCCTAAATCCACTCAGCCATCATCGTGACAACACCAACGCTATGGGGGTTACAGCCACAAGGACGGTTGAGCGCGTAGATCTGGCCGTGCCGTGCTGGCCTTAAGAGGTGCTCGCTGACTACGCTCGTCCCAACAGCTCTTGAGGATATCAGTGGGGGGCGGTGGGGGTAGCGGGGGTGGAAGTGGGGGGAGGGTGTGGGAAGGTGGGTGGGTGGGGGGCTGTGTCGCGCGCGTGCGCGCGTCCGTGCGATGAACGAGTTAAGTTAGACAGCAGTGAATGCGCAGGGGCGGGCGGGCGGGAGGGGGGGGTAGATTTGGAATTGATATCTCATCTCACATCTCACCCCGCACGTGGACAAGAGGAGGAGGAGGCGTCTCCTGTTCGCTCGTTCGTTCGCTCGCAGCATCTCGTGGCCACCGGCATTTCACTCAGTCACAGCGTCTCCTCCAACTCACGTCCTGAGAACAAATTCCACGAAGACGGGCGGGGTTACTCACAGTATTTGACATCGACCGTATTCTCCGCATTTTAAGACGCATATTTTTTTCTTATTTTGTTTCTGCATGTATTAAAAAACAAAAGGTGTTGCGGGTGCGTCTTAGAATAGGCATGTGTGTGTGTGTCAGTGTGTGTGTGTCAGTGTGTGTGTGTGTCAGTGTGTGTGTGTCCGTGTGTGTGTCAGTGTGTGTGTGTCAGTGTGTGTTCGTGTGTGTGTGTCAGTGTGTGTGTGTGCGGAGTGCGGTGGTGTAGCGGTTAACGCGCTGCGCTACGAACCTGGCTACCCGGATTCGATTCGCGCTCACGGCCAACATCGGTGACGATTATCTGAAACGGTCACGGGCCTCCCCTAGATCCACTCAGCTTCAAATGAGTACCTGGTGTGATGCGTAAACATCGCCACTGCGGAGACAAAAGGCGGCCGGGCGTAGTGTTGGCCACCCACCCCCTCGTGTGCCGTGCCGGCCTTCATAGGTGCTCGCTAACAGCACTTGCCCCTACAGTCTGTTAAGACTATAGGGGGATCTTTGTCTTTGTTTGCGTGAGAGAGAGGCGCCCCTCTTTGTATAACCTCGCAAACATCGGGATCAAGCGTTGGGTTCGTCTTACTTGCCAGAGCGTCTTATAATCCGAAGATTACAATCCGGAGATTAGTCTGTAATGAGATGAATGATATTCCGAACGAATACAAAGTGAGAGTTTTTTTTTTCTTTCAGTCTCGTGTACTGGGCCTGGCGCGCTTTAGAGTATATACTCTTAGTTCTTTCGGGAAAGTCACGTGGGTAAAAAATTAAATTAAAATTAATGAAAATAAAATAATAAAAATCACGACGTTTCGGAGGCAACACAAGTCTCCGTCATCAGGTGGGACCGTCACAGCCAGATTTGCTGCATCAAGTGAGGGAGTGTTCGTGGGAACGCCGCAAATAGGCAGTGCTGTTAGCGAGCACCTATTAAGGTGCTGGGGATGGAAAATGGTTTGGTGGGGGGTGGGGCAGGGGGCTGGAAGATCACGCCCGGGCCTCCTTTGTCTTTGGGCATTAACGACGACGACTATGATGTGCGTACGCGATTTATTTAAGGCCGAGTTTACTTAGGAGTAGGGCTCAAGACGGGTGGTTCGAATGTCACTCGCCACTGATGGTATCCCGTGGCAGGGAATCGAATCCAGGTTTGCCGGGTTCACGGCGTATGTCTGGGTAGACACAAGCGCGTATGTGTGTGTACACGTGTACACACGCACACATGCAAGGGAACACAATGTTTACTATATATCTGTGTGTACAGTATATATATATGTGCAGCGTTATCTTGTACTTTCGGCGCGCGCGATATCGATCCTACACATGAAGTAATCTTCTGATATTTGAACAAAAGCACGTTTAAGTATTTATTTGTATTAAAATACCCTTACGAATGAGACAGCTGCTGTTGATGCAATGTATTCAATGCGCGTTATATCGCACGTGCAACTGAAACCGCGTAGATATATAGATTGTCGTGAGAGTCGCCTTTAATCTGATCGGTGTCCAATTGATACCAGCGTCTTCTTTGGCAAGGTAGCCCTTGCAGTTTCCAAAAAAAACAATAACTTCTCGTTACAATTGCAAGAAGGCGCAATTTTACATACACACAGCCACGGCGGTGTGGTGTGTACTGCATGAGAGTGCGTGCATGTCCGTGTGTATGCGCGTGTATGTGTCTATGTGCGTGCATGGGTTACGTGTATTTTACGTCCATGCGTAAGCGGTACGTGCGCGACTCTATGCACATGGGTGGTATGCTTGTGGCTATAAACGTGCTGTTATTTATACGCGTAAATGTGTCCGTACGCGCACATGTGCGAGTGTTGTGTGTGTGTGTGCGTGGACATGCGTGTACGTTGTCGCGGCGGTGGTTTAGCGTGTGGAGAATATTTGAACCGGTCCTGGGCCTCCTCTAGATCCACTCAGCCTCAAATGAGTACCTGACATCGCCACTCGGGAGACAAAGGCGGCCGGGCGTGGTGTTGGCCATCCACCCCTTCGTGCGGCGTGCCGGCTTTAATAGGTGCTCACTAACAGCACTTGCCCTGACAGTCTGTGACAGGCTATACGGGGGATCTGTGTCTTTGTTGTGCGTACATACACGCAATGCTTCATGCACTGACTTACAATTCTATCTACACGGATATGTTTCGTTTTCCGACTCGGATTCACATCATCGTTCGGAACGGAACACGAGTCCACGTGGCGTCTGATCCCGTGCCGTTTCTCCCCGAAGCTCGACTCGCCCTTGCACGCAAGTTGAAGCAGCTGGCGTCGCCTGTCAATGCATCTGGGAAGACAAAGGGGGCCGGGGGTTGTGTGGTTCTGGCACCAAACGCCCCCCTCGACAGGAGAGCTAAATTTTAGGTGAAACAGTCCAGAATGATATTCCGGAATTAATCTTGGCACAATAATATAGGATTAGTGTGGATTATCATATCTTGTACTCTAGTGGTAGTGCCTTACGCCGATAATCTCTGCTCTAAGCCAGACAGCCAGCCGAGCATGAGCGCTCCAGAAAGTATCGAAGGAGAAAATATAATCCTTGCTCGTCGGAGATGTCTTGGTGTCACCTGTCAATACATCTGGGAAGACAAAGGCGGTCGTAGGTGGTTGTCAGATAATCGTCACTGGAGTTGGCCGTGAGCGGGAATCGAACTTGGGTCGCCGGGTTCGTAGCGCGGCGCGGCACCGCTGCTCCCTACACACACAGACACACACGCGCGTGCAAACACACGCACACAAAGACAAAGATCCCCCGTATAGCCTCAAAAGACTGTTGGGGCAAGTGCTGTTAGCGAGCACCTATGAAGGCCGGCACGGCATACGAGGGGGTGGGTGGCCATCACCACGCCCGGCCGCCTTTGTCTCCCCAGTGGCGATGTTTTACACACCGCACCAGGTACTAATTTGAGGCTGAGTCGACCTAGCGGAGGTCCACGACCGGTTCAAATAATCGTCACTGGTATTGGCCGTGAGCGGGAATCGAACTCGGGTCGCCGGGTTCATTGCTCAGCGTAGCGTTCACCACGACACTACCGCTTCCCAACACGGGCACACACACACGGGCACACACACACACGGGCACACACACACACGGGCACCAGGTGTTGGGGAAAGGAGAGGAGTCAGGGGATGGATGGAGGAGGGGGGGGAGGGGCTGTACATGGTGGGGGGAGGAGGAGGGGGGGGTAGATGGATGGAGGGGGGGGGGGTCTCTGATGGCGACTGCCCCAGGGCACAGGGCCTCTCGCCTCCCGTAGTCGCGGCCCTGGTAAATATTTAGCTTTTAATTCAGCTCGGCGCGAGCCCGCGGCGCTGCGCTCATTACAGCCGCTCAAAACATCAAGCACATCAAAGCGAATTTCCCGTAACAAAAAATAAAGCGGCGCTACCCGGGCGCGCCTCCTCGCCTTTCCTCCTACCCACCCCTCCATCTCCCACACTACCCACCCACCTACCCCTCCATCTCCCACACTACCGACCCACCTACCCCTCCATCTCCCACACTACCCACACTACCCACCCACCTACCCCTCCATCTCTCACACTACCCAGCCACCTACCCCTCCATCTCCCACACTACCCACCCACCTACCCCTCCATCTCCCACACTACCCACCCACCTACCCCTCCACCTACCCCTCCATCTCTCACACTACCCACCCACCTACCCCACCACCTACCCCTCCATCTCCCACACTACCCACCCACCTACCCCTCCATCTCTCACACTACCCACCCACCTACCCCTCCATCTCCCACACTACCCACACTACCCACCCACCTACCCCTCCATCTCCCACACTACCCACCCACCTACCCCTCCATCTCCCACACTACCCACCCACCTACCTCTCTATCTCCCACACTACCCACCCACCTACCCATCCATCTCCCACACTACCCACCCACCTAACCCTCCATCTCCCACACTACCCACCCACCTACCTCTCTATCTCCCACACTACCCACCCACCTACCCATCCATCTCCCACACTACCCACCCACCTACCCCTCCATCTCCCACACTACCCACCCACCTACCCCTCCATCTCCCACACTACCCACCCACCTACCTCTCTATCTCCCACACTACCCACCCACCTACCCCTCCATCTCCCACACTACCCACCCACCTACCTCTCTATCTCCCACACTACCCACCCACCTACCCATCCATCTCCCACACTACCCACACTACCCACCCACCTACCCCTCCATCTCCCACACTACCCACCCACCTACCCCTCCACCTACCCCTCCATCTCCCACACTACCCACCCACCTACCCCTCCACCTACCCCTCCATCTCCCACGCTACCCACCCACCTACCCCACCATCTCCCACACTACCCACCCACCTACCCCTCCATCTCCCACACTACCGACCCACCTACCCCTCCATCTCCCACACTACCCACACTACCCACCCACCTACCCCTCCATCTCTCACACTACCCAGCCACCTACCCCTCCATCTCCCACACTACCCACCCATCTACCCCTCCACCTACCCCTCCATCTCCCACACTACCCACCCACCTACCCCTCCACCTACCCCTCCATCTCCCACACTACCCACCCACCTACCCCTCCACCTACCCCTCCATCTCTCACACTACCCACCCACCTACCCCACCACCTACCCCTCCATCTCCCACACTACCCACCCACCTACCCCTCCATCTCCCACACTACCCACCCACCTACCCCTCCATCTCCCACACTACCCACCCACCTACCCCTCCATCTCCCACACTACCCACCCACCTCCCCCGCCATCTCCCACACTACCCACCCACCTACCTCTCTATCTCCCACACTACCCACCCACCTACCCCTCCACCTACCCCTCCATCTCCCACGCTACCCACCCACCTACCCCACCATCTCCCACACTACCCACCCACCTACCCCTCCATCTCCCACACTACCCACACTACCCACCCACCTACCCCTCCATCTCCCACACTACCCACCCACCTACCCCTCCATCTCCCACACTACCCACACTACCCACCCACCTACCCCTCCATCTCCCACACTACCCACCCACCTACCCCACCATCTCCCACACTACCCACCCACCTACCCCTCCATCTCCCACACTACCCACACTACCCACCCACCTACCCCTCCATCTCCCACGCTACCCACCCACCTACCCCACCATCTCCCACACTACCCACCCACCTACCCCTCCATCTCCCACACTACCCACCCACCTACCTCTCTATCTCCCACACTACCCACCTCGCCACCTACCCCGCCACCTACCTGGCCACACGCACACTGCTGGGAGTGAGATGACGATCGAGCCTTACAAAGAGATTGGCACAGGGAGTTACGATGTTGGTATGCGTGCTCCCACCAACGCGTCTGCCCGGCGTGGATGAGTAGGCCTACGGACACTCTCGATCGAGTGGAACTCGCTCCAGCCGAGGACCCTCTGCCATCCATGGCGTGAGCAAGAAATGTCAGGGCTGCGCCTCTAGATTCACCATCCAAAGCACGGAGAGTCGGGCGCGCGGTTGGGCCGGTCGAGCGTGTGTGGGGCCGTCCATAAATGACGTCACGCGATTTTGGACGATTTTTGACCCCCCCCTTACCCCGTCGTCACACCCCGCCCCTCAAATATGACGTCAGATAGCTCTGCCCCCCTCCCAACATAAAACATGCTTCAAATCGCTTTAAACTATTGTCATTGTAGTGCGTATTTGAAGTGTCACTGCACTCTGATGTTGTAGGAGAAAACATTTATTAAAAAGTATATTTAATTAAGTAGAACGTGTTTTCTCGTCACACATCGTCACAAATGTCTGACCCCCCCCCCCCACCCTAGGTGCGTGACGTCATTTATGGACGGCCCCTGTGGTTAATGATCGAAGCAAATCAGATTGACTTGATGTTTTTTTTCAGAATCCACTTGGTCGCATTGGGCGGAGGGCACATCACGGCAAGGGATTGTCAGCGAGTCAGCGATGGAACGGCAGCGGGAGGAAGAGGGCTCGCGCCCGAGAGGTGCAGCGATGTGACGATCAGTTCGCTCCGGCACGAGCGAGGTGAGGACGCGTGGCGTCGGCCTGACCGTCGTGAGCGGTGGGCAAATGGTGCCCGGCGGAGCCTTTTTTACTCCACAGCAATGGAAAGACGATTACTGATTATTTAGATGATGGTGATGATGATGATCGCGGTGATCTTCTTCGTTTCGTACGGCTGACGTCGATGGAGAGAGGCAACAACTCCGATTTCACAGTCACGTGGTCAAGCGCAGATAACTGCGTCGGGAGCAGCGGAGTGGTGTCGTGGTGATGGTGGTCGTGGTGGTGGTCGTGGTGATGGTGGTGGTGATGGTCGTGGTGGTGGTGGTGGTTGTGGTGGTGGTGGTGATGGTGATGGTGGTGGTAGTGATGGTGATGGTGGTCGTGGTGGTGGTGGTCGTGGTGGTGGTGGTCGTGGTAGTGATGGTGGTGGTCGTGGTGGTCGTGGTGGTGGTGGTCGTGGTGGTGGTCGTGGTGGTGGTGGTCGTGATGGTCGTGGTGGTGGTGGTCGTGGTGGTGGTCGTGGTGGTGGTGGTGATGATGACGCCACGTACGGGATGAAGCGATGAGATCAGCTCTTGCGCATCGTTGAGATCTAATTGCGTCGTGGCGTCGCAGGACCGCGAGGGGTGACGATGGCGTGGGGGGGCCTTCATCCAGCAGTGGATCGGTGATGGCTGATGGAAGATGACGATTTAGTAAATGTAATTCCAACTCACGATGGACACGATGGGGCGCGGGGGGGGGGTAGAAGACTGAATCTTGCGATGCGGATATTTCCGTGCAGTCGATTAGCAATATACTCTTTGGTTCTTTCGGTAAAGTCACGTAGGTAGACAATAAAAATATATCACGACGTTTCGATCGCCACCCAAGCGGTCGTCCTCGGGTGGACGACCACACAAGCGGTCGTGGATGAGTAGGACTACGGACGTCCACCTGAGGATGACCGCTTGTGTTGCGACCTCAACGTCGTGATCTATTATTATTCTCTGCCTACGTGACTTTACCGAAAGAACCAAAGAGTATGGATTAATGCAGTCACGAAAGCTTCAAATCCGATTAGCAATCTTTGGCTCGGCTCACGGGTTATGAATCAATGGGCGAGTGAATGAATGAGTGAACGAATGTAAGGAACGCTTTCATCATTGAAAGTGTGAATGGATGCAAGAGTGAACGAATGAGCGAACGAAGAAAATATTTTTTTCAAATCGAGGAGAGAACGAGTGAATGAAGATGTGACTGAAAGACGGCGATTGAATAAATGTATGAATGAATGAAGGAAGGAGTGAATTAATACATGACGGAGTGATGTACGTGCCCTACCATTATTTGAAAGTACCAAAGGGACACCGAGACCTTGATTCAATGCAGATTCAATATTAGCATACATTTTGAAATGGAGATGAGAAGCGTCCTGTTAATATATGCGTTTATAATGTTAATAATTTTTACTTACCGCTCGTGTCTTACAATCCACGCGCTGCTGCTGGTGATTAAAGCGGGCAAAAGCAGCATTGTATTTATGCGTAATTAATGAAACGCAATCACACATCTATCGCTGTGCATAATTTACAATTAACGCATTACCACCATTTACACTACATTACCCGGCATGCAATTCATCATCATTCCTTTTATTTTTTTTTAACAACTT